TGTCTAATTGTACATTACCACGATCTGATACAATCTACATTAGATTACTGTGTTGTCTGGGAATATACAACAATACAATTATATTAATTAATTAAATGAATGTTCTTCCAAAAAAAGCGCTTCGTTTACTTTTTGATTTACATTTCGACTTCCCTTCTATTGAACTGCTAAACTCCACGTTATATTAATCAGGCAAAGTATTGTCTATTTCACTGCTCTGCTCACATTTAAATGTTTGAATGGCGATGCACTTGCATATGTTTCGGATTCTTTCATTACTCAAAGCGTTGTGCATAATTACATGACACGATCCACAAAACGGCAAGATTATATAAGGCAGCGGTTCTACTAAACTGTGTATCTTTACCATTAGAGTTGAAAATATCTTCTAATATCTTTTAAAGATAGCCAGTGTGATTTTATTCATAACAATATACCTCTGTGAACTACTCCTTGTTTTTTTATGTTTTGATATTTCTATTTTGTTGTGATATATTGTGTCCTGGTATCTTTATTGTAATGAGCCCCGATGAGTAACTCGACCGCTCAGTAAATGTATTTAAATAACTACAACTGGCGTTAACCACTCACCCTTACTAACTGGCCAGAAATAGTGAACTCGAAATAGCATGTAGTCAACACGCCTCAAACAAGTGTACTAGTATATTAAACACAGACAAATGTTACGCATTGTAAATATGATGAAATTGCCTCGTGGTTAGTTATCGCTCAATGAATCTTATTAGCATAATTGGTAACATATTTATGACAAATTTATATGACTACAATATTGATCAATGAGAGGAAATGATTCCAATACCTAATATTAACCTTAAAACTAAATTCTGTTGACGATATATATTCCCCGGTTATTTATATATACGAGGGGCTAACTTGTGATAAAAATCACGGTCCCGGGGACAAGACTTCTCAAAACCCATCTCTTGAAATACATTGACAAAAAAAAAACGCCTCTCGAAGAAGTTTAAATATTTGTTGCAGCAGAAATCATGGTCAAATAGACTTATCATCGCCGTTTATCATACACCATGTCAACATATTAAAATACGACTCCTTTGATTTTAGGAAATGTCAAAGAGTGATCCTTGAACTATTGAGAATTCAAAAAATGACCAACCGCTCATTTAAATACTCGTTGGTGCCTATCATACTAATTACTACATTTAGTCTAATGACCCTCAAGATACAGTCGACCCGATTGACTGATCCGTTATATTTTTGTCACGGAGAGATTATCTCCCTATCCCTTGCTATATATATTATAGTAACCAGCGTGGGGCAATTCATTTACAACAAATAGGGGAACATGATTTTTTCTCTTCTTGTCATATGCGGTCTGACTGGATCCATTCAATGGACGGTTCACGCTAGCACACCTAGAGGACATCTACAACCATTCGGCTCACACGCAGACCCTTCTTACATTATTGATGAATTGGACTACGCTCCAAATTCTCTTGAATTTTATGAGAATTATGTAAAACCACACAAACCGGTAGTTTTCCGAGGAGCTGCAAAACAATCCAGGGCATACCACGATTGGACGGACGAATATCTGAAAAACAAATACGGTGATTTTCAGCTGTTGCTTCCTGGTTGGTTTGGCGCTAAAAACCGCGGAAAGCTGCCGGAAGTTGGCCTTGGAAGAACTACTATCAAACAGTTTATCAACACATATCCGAGTATTGATAATGTTATTGTTGCAGCATCGCTGCCTGGACCTATGGAAAGAGACGTATCAATTCCTCCATTTTTGTTATGTGGACATTTGCAAAAGGGATAAAGGTATTTATTCAATTTATTTATATCCACTGGCTTTGTCAGAGAGAAGATTCCAGTTATGATATCCCATAATACACGCTACAAAAATACCGTGATGCTTTAATGCGTTCCCTTCTAATGGGAGTGCCAGCAAAACAGCCTGTTACCTCAACAACGCTCAACTTTATATTTCTATTGCAAAATGATCAAAGGTGAAAAATGAAATATTGAGAAATGCAAACATTCCATAAAATAACTAATATCAGAAGCTGTCCTCTGTGTTTGCCGAATCCCACGACTTAACGTTCGGTTTCACGCATAATGGAGGATCTCGCAGTAAACGGAAAATGGTTTACGGTGGTGGTATTCGTTTAGAAAATAAACTACGGAAATAGGGAACCTTTCTGAGATTAGCTGAACTCTAATTCAATATTTATTGTATTGGTTTACGGCTTCGGATGAACTGCATAGAAACGTTTTTGTGTTTTAAAACATCGCTTCAAAACGTATTTCATTTGAATCTACTACGCATGATCAAAATATTCATCACGTGACATTATCGAAACTGTCTATTTGTTCCGATGAACGCTAGCCCTGAGTACAGTCCTGTAGGCTGGCCTCCTTCCGCTGATCATTCGGCTCTCAATCTACTAGTATTTCTGAGTCTGACGATTTTTCTCAAGTGAAATCTATTTGTTCTTATTATTTGTCCTATGACTTTTATACTATAAATTTTACGCTAAGAAGAAACCAGAAGAACTCACAGACTGGCGATGTTACAAACGCTTCAAGTATTCATACACGGATTATTATGCAAATTATTCATATATAAATTAACTTGCCAATATTGTATTATGCACATTTTATGAAAAAAACAACTTTCTTCCGTGTACATTTCTTTGCTCACTGTATAATTTTGTTTTTCAAAATCTTTTTTATTCAGATATTTCTTCAAAATGTGTCACCACACAATTACTAATGGTAAACATCAAAACCACCAAAAGGGTGTCAAAGGTGTCACGTGACATGTAATGTTTATTAATGCCTCATATTTAGTGATCGCTATTTGTCACGTGTTCTACTGGTTGGTAAACTGTGCCCATGTAACGAAATGATCGTTAACCCCATTATATGTCAAAATAGACAAATCGAGTGAATAGAGTCAAAACACTCAAATAGTGGGAAATGTCCCTTGTTTGATGGAATACTGAACTACGCAATTTCATTTTCAGGAAATTACTCTAATGATGAGAACTGGCGGTTATAATACACCCATTCATAAGCACATAGTAGAAGAATTTCACTGTGCTTTCAATGGTTCAGAAGAATTCATGTTTATACAGCCAGGACAGGTAAACACACAACGAAATGATACAAACAGGTGTTAAATGGCATGCTTCGAGAAGAGTACATGGTTGTGGGATACTTTTGTTATTACACATATTGTATTTCCACTTTTATATTATGTATTTTATTCTAAATAATTCTGCCAAAAACTTTCTTATTTAAGAAAGACTCTTATCGTATCTAATGATTCACTCCATTTTGTTTGATTGCATAAAAGTACTGGAATGTTTTTCGATAATTTGAAATTGAGAATAATAACCGCAAAAAGTTCTGGGCAATACCTATTATATTAAAAGATATATTGGATTCATCCCAAAATCACAGAGAGCCCCATACTAACACTTGCAGTTAAATTTTGCTGTGTCACAGTGTCAGTTAGGCCATTTAACATGTTCTAATCGTAGTTTCACAAAAATTCAAATGTGACTAGGATTCCACTCACTTCAAGAAAAGGGAGACTTTTTCAGTTGCCAAAGCTATTTTTGAGAATAATGGAAACAGACAGAAAGTTGATTATAGGCCTCGTTCTACTGTAAAATACTTTATTTCAGCTGGAATTAATACTCGCTGAAAAGATTTTTGAGTGTTTTGTATGGAATTTATTTTCACTGATTTTTGACAAGTTGAAAGTAAAATATATGAAAAAAGGTATATTCGCTGGATTTTATTTTAACTAAATCATTCCTTCGGCGAAAATAGCGAAAACATTTGCTAGCGAAAATAAAGTATTTTACAGTATATATTCCTTCTTAACACCTCACACAATTAGCATACACATATATCTCATTAAATAAATTGACTTCATAGTGCTTACGACCTACGAATAATCTTACACTAAACCAGTACAGGACAATAAGAGTGACAGCCCATAAGATATATGACACATCGAATTATAATTAGAACCACGATTCTATTGAATGTAATATTGATATTATTATCACACAGAAAGAATTGCAGCATCCATGGTCTTCAATTGATGTTGATTCTGTTGATTTAATAAAATACCCGGAATTGCAGCATATCAAGTACGCTAGCATAGCATTGAACAAAGGCGACTGTATTTATATACCAACAGGTAAAGTGTTAGTTCCTGGTTTTACAATAGTAACTCGAAATACAGAGCCTGCGAATTTGTTAGTCATCAAACTTCTGTGTTGCATTTAACTGTGTTTTTGTTTGTTTCCCAGGTTCTTATTACAAAATCAGTTCAACGGATCATTTCAATTCAGGTATCGTAGTATGGTTCTCATTTTTTACCAAGAGTCATCAATTTGAAGGCACTGGCTGCGATAAAAATGACAATTTCATGCCAGCAAGTGATGTAAATATTACTTGGAGATATGATGGATATGGTGATTTGGAAACCTTGCATTTAGATACAAACATATTAAGGTAAGAACGATTGCGATTGAGGTCAATGCTGTGTGTATGCAATCGAAGTAAAATATAATAAATGACAAAATTAAATCACATGAAAAGATGTGTATACTAAAGGTGACACATCCTTGGTTCTTTCTAGGACGGTGTTACTGACATCAGGTGATGAGAAGGGTAGAGTATGGCTGAAACAGTTCACTGAAAATTTGATCAAGGTTAGTATTCTCGTTTCAGATCTTTCAGAATATGACAAATAATCTTAACTGTTTAACAGGGTGTTATATCATTCATTCATTCTCACCAAATGGTTTTCCTATAATCACATCATGCGTTCAATTACTTGGTATACATTTATCAGGGATTCGATGTCAATTTCATACAGTTTATATGCTGTTTTGGTGCATTTTCAAATGTGCTATCATAATGGTAAGGATTATTAAAGAAAGAGTTTACCATTTCATTCAATTCGTGGATATTTTCTAAGGGAAAAGTGCATGATTATGTGTCATATGCGTCAGACTAATACCACATCATCAGTCATAATTACATGTGTATCAAGTATAATTTTAAAATAGTCTGGAACCATTGATGTTATATATATACATGTATACCTAATACAATACAATAAACCGTTTAAAACTGGAACTGTTTACTCCATGTTTCAAACAGGGTGATGGAGAAGTCGGTGTATATGACAATGAAAGGAAACAGGTAACACATAGATAGATGTAACGCATAAACCTTGAGATACATTATTTGTGTATATCTTATATATTATTGCTACACTGCCATTGGACAATACTTTTTAATGTACGATGAATTTGGACATACATTCCAGAACTTTGATTAAGAATACATTGGACATATTAACAATGTAGCGCGTGACGATCATCGGTTATACTGTTTTTGCATTTAAAGCAATTATTTCAAAAAATGCAGAAACGATGTATAAAGGTAACGTTATAAAACAGGCAGTGGCGTCGGCCATATTCTCGAAACCGTGTATAATCGAAATAGAGCTGCCATTCATTGATAACAAATTTAGTGGAATGTATTTTTCCCACTGCCATTACGATTGGATTGATTCATAAAATCAATATTGAATGCTATTGAATGATCATAATGAATAAAAATCATCTGTGTTCTAGTTTTCTGATATACTAGACCCTACTGGTAGAGGATATGTAACAGTGAAAGAAGTCAAGGCGCTATCAATTGATGTGTTGAAAAAAATGATATTGGCATTTGACCACACTGATGATTCCAGCACGTTGGATTACGAATATAGACTCATTAATCATGAAGCAATCATGTAAGTTATATATGCGTATTAAACGTGCACATATGTCTCGGCGAGTCAATATGCAAACTCATATAACGATTCTATGTTGATTTTTACATGACCCGACGAATTTTTAATGCAAAGTGATCCATGTATCTGTGATCCCAATATGCATTATTCTGTGTAGAGATGTTCTATGCAATATTACGTATTTTGTTATGATTTGAAAAACATGTTTGTACAACAAACATCGTGTATACGAGTATAATATTATAATCAATTCCGTCTTTTTAGCAACTTTACCAGGATGCTGGCATCAAATGGACCAGATCCCGGTTTCCATAGTAATGAATTTATTGAGCAGTATGTAAATCAGTTAGGAGGAACTCGTCAAAAGGCGATGGAAGTGAGTAATATGAAACATCTATAAATGTATTATTTATCTACTATGTATGGGTCTAGCTTATAGGGAATTGGAAAACTTATGTTATGGTTTTGATTTTACTGTCGTATTTTCGTGAGTTTTTGAGCAAATGTATGAAAAGAATATTCTGAAATGTTGCCTACAGATCGGACTAACTTGCAGCTGACTTCCACAATTGTGGTAACGTAGTTTGCTGACTATACTGGCTCAAAGCAAACCCGGAAGTGATTCTTTTCACACTCGTTCATGTGTCTCAATAATCTGAAATTTGTCTTGTAGCATCATCATCAGAAATACATTACGTAACGTGACTCTTTGCGTTGAAATTAATTTTCTGAAAAATTGCACGAAACATTTAAAAATCTAATCTGATTGCCCTGAAATTGGGTGTGTATCATGATGGAATACGTAATTGGTGTTAGTTGGAGTATTGTTGATTGGTCACGTGGTATTATAGCCAGTTAATTGAATTGAAAAGTATTTTATAAGTATTTTATCTATTTATTATACTTGTGAGGATTGAGCACGCTGAAATCATATTTATTGAGATTTGTTTTGGAATATACGGCAGTTTTTATTGCAATCTTCTCAACCTTTTTATTTTAATTTGTAAACAGCACTTCTATTCTGAATCGAAAAAAGGTTCTGTCCCAAAGGTGGAAGTCGTGGAGAGTATAATGTTAAACACTCGTATTGTAGAGCGACAAATAGCTATCAATAATGGTTCAATGTCTAAATTTAATGAAAAATGGAACAATTTCAATTATGAGTAAATCACTTAATTGCCAGATTTGTCAGCTTATCAATAATGTTCCCCCACTTCCACTTCCTTTAAGCCATCCACTTTTCTTTTTTTTGTAATTTTTTCTTTCTTTTTTTTGTAAATGTATTTATTTAAAGTAATAAAAAAAAAATTAAAAAAAAAAAAAGAGATTTATAAATATCACTGACATTAGTTCAAATTTACAAATCATGTAACTTTTCTCATATTGGATTTTTCGTAGAAAAAAAATCTGACGGCTTTCAAGTCATTCTAAAAAACGCTTGTTTTATTAATCTGACACTTACGTTGAAGCATCTATATATCGGAGCAACCAATTGAAATAATAACAACAACAAAGTAACAGGTCACGTGGTTTGGTCACCATCGTGGATTGAGATCTCTAATTTGGAGTTATGACATATTTGGTATACCAGCTGTTTACAATGCACGTGGACCCATGTACTTACATGTTGGACATCTTGGATTTAAAAAAACAATAAACAACACATTTCCAGACTCGAACCCTGCTTTAATTGTATTGTTCTCAGCCCTCGATCTATGACGACATAAAATATATACAATGAATGTAATGACGTCATTGAACATTAGCTGCCTTATTTGTTACTATAACAAGTACTACATGTACTACAAATTATATTGTTTAATTACAGATATTGACAGGTTTGGGTGTTGGACAAGGTGAACTGGTTACCATGGAGATGGTAGAGAAAAACATCGAAAAAACAATAGAGAAGTTTCGCAATGCAAAACTCAAGATACGAGCAGATAGGAAACCATGGTATGAACATTTACTAAAACATAAAGAAATGTTCTGATTTGTAATAATTGGAAGCTTCTTCTCACTATTGAATGTTTTCAAAAAGATTCCCTTATACACATACTTATTTGATAGTCTGTAACAGGCACTGTTTACCACAGTAATATATATTTTAGTATATTTATTGGCGAGATATATTCGATGAATCAATTCACATTAGACACAGTACTAGAAATGTTTGTGAATAGAAAAAACAATGCTCTTTTACAATGAAAGTGCTGAAAAAGTCATATTTTGCGTGACTGACAAGTAATATTTAATAATTATCTGTTCAGGTTCATTAAAGGTCTTAACCAGTCAGTGTAATTCTCGAGTAACCTTGCTTACCTAGCCCTGCACCTAGTGAGCTACAGTATCTTGAAAGTCGAAACATGTATAAATCCATAAGCTGGAGCTAAGGGAATGTTAGATACGAGACATTGAAAAATTTCGAAATCATATAGCATAGTGTGGAAACCATTTGGTTTTATTTGAAAGATCATTTCTAGGTATGAAGCTTAATTCATGCTCTCTGCTGTGTTCTTGATGGTTAGTACTTCATGATAAATCAAGTAAAGATAAATAGCAAAATTCTTGTCAATGGTTGTCAATTAATAGTTACCATGGTTACCATACGATTGGCATCAATTGTGCCCAATTGTTGGTTGTATGATCGGTTGTGAAAAGCTTTATTTATCAAATGACATCACTACTTACACTTGTCTGCCATCTGAGACCACCAAATTGTATATATGTGGTAAACATGAATTACAATTCTATCAATGAATCCATCTCAGTATATCATTTAAACATGTCATCAATTTTGACTTTGGTTTCATTAGACTTGCCTCAAAACTTTTACTTGACATGGTATGTCGAAATATGGTCACTGAAACAGGGAAACACTTCCACGCTCGAATTAAAGATTCAACAAGTCATTGAAAATGACACAGTCCCCGTTAAATTTTTGAAAGTTCTCTTTGTGCTCGTCATATTAAAGCGGAAGGGTTGTCGCAAGCGTGTCCTTGAAACTTGAGTCCCAAGTGGCGTATACAACAGATTGTTTATTTACATCAAATCACGTGTTCCGTGAAGTAGTAATATGGCCAAAAATAAAAACAGCTGTTATTCGCCCGTCTTTGATCTGATTATGAAACACACTGATATGTATGATGTATGTGCCAAATACGAATAAAAATGGTACATAAATTGTGGAAATATAGTAGTAAGGCAAAAAAGTCAGATGGCTGTCAATCGGCCATCCTTGATCAGATTTCGTAACAAACTGTCATGGACATGTATCCTAACATGTATAAAATATGTGCCAAATTTGAATGAAAACTGACAAAGCACAACCACGATACCGCATATGAAAAAACAAGATGCTTGCCAGTCGGCCATTTTTGATCCAATTGCGAAATAAATCGCCATGGACATGTATCCTAACATGTATAATCTATGTACCAAGTTTGAGTGAAAACTGACAAAGCATGTTCAAAATACAACATTTTCAAAAACAAGATGGCTGCCAGTCAGCCATTTTGAATCGAATCGCTAAACCACTGCATGTGCATATGTTCCACATAAGGTATTAGGCACATGCAAAGAATAAACTGAATCAGTCCAAAGGATTCTGAAATATTACTCTGGACAGACTGACACACGGACGGCGAACGGACGAACTCAGAAACGGACGGATGGTCGGAGGACATGTTATCCTAACATGTATAATCTATGTACCAAATTTGAATGAAAACTGACAAGATGGCTGCCAGTCGGCCATTGTGAATCGAGTCGCTAAACCACTGCATGTGTATATCCCACATAAAGTGCTAGGCACATGCAAAACATAAACGGAATCGGTCCAAAAGATCCTGAGATATGACTCCGGGCGGACGGACGCACAGACGGAAGGAGACCGAATTATAAGTCTGAACGGGGACTAAAAATAAAAAGTGACTCAAATACGGTATATATAGATACATGACATCAACAATGCTTTTAAAGCTTTTTAACATAACATCAAACCTATAATAGGACATATTATACACTGACATGTTTACTCATTACTACATTAATTGTATGACACCCCAACAGATTGAACAAAAAACAAGTACACATACATTATCATGCTTTTACCAGTCAAGGGCAAGGTATATACTTTTTAACGTCACAATGTGGTCAATTATGTGATGGTACCTTGATAAAGATTCTGATAACCCGTATTTTCACATTGGCAGTAATGCGATGCACTGTTCATATGCGAATGCAATAAACTAATAATTCACATGGATGTAAAACTGAAAAATCTGCTCCTCCATAAATTAGGAGATTTACTACGAGTTGCTATGTACTAATTGCTAGTGAGAAAACACGGCTATCGGTGAAGTGCATATATAAGTAAACGGTTCTTGTCTATCTTACTGTAATTGCCTACAATAGGGTGGAGAAAATGAATTCCCCGATAGTTAACACATGGTCGCCTCTCGTTGGTCTATCTTTCAATTACCCTTTACATTGTATTGGCAAACATTAATGGATCCACTTTTTTGAGCACGGCATTGGGAAAACCAAGGTAAATGCATCACAACGACGTAACGTGTAGTGAAATCACGTACATACAATAAAATTGTAATTCCCCCTTGATGTACCCTATTTCTCACCATGGATATATTCATATTCGCAATATGTAAATACTTATATTCAAAGGCATACACAGTACCATACTTTAACAGTGCATAGGTCTTATCGTGTGTTCCACTTTCAAACTAATGCCCCGTCACACCCTGCATGAACTGGTACAATCTCACTAGTTTTATTGATTGACTCATCATAGACATCATATATGATGTCAAATCTTTCGTACATCTGGCATTAAAAAACATGTCAGTAATATGTACACTTCATTGTTGCGCGTTATTGGTATGCCAGGTACGTATCTGACGCTGCATTTTTAGTGAAATTATTTATTGTCGTTTTATTTATTTATAAATGTATAAATAAATAAATAAATCCATTGCTGGATGTGAATATATACATCTGACATGAGATTCGCTGTAAACGTTAATGAATCATCATTCAGGAGATAGTTGGCACATTTTGAGCAGAGAACGGAATTGCATTATCATAAGATAACAGTGCACTGGAGTAATGAATTACCGCCTCCTTCAATACATACATGCATACTAGTATATTACAATGCTATTTCTGTTCTGGCGCCTTAGCTTACTTGTTATTACGTGCAAGCTTTAATAACATGCGTAATAAATACAACACAGCCCCGATAGTCTTGCTGGAAACGATTCACCATCATATGACATCGTCATGAATTGGGTGAATTTTATTTTTATAATTGTCTGTCTGACTGAGATGAGCCAATGTTCAAAGGACACTGACCAGCTGCCTGACCCACCGAGAGGACACATGCAGCCATTCGGTTCTCACACCGACTCGTCAGATACCACTGAAGAATTAAACTACGTTCCACATTCATTACAATTTTACGAAAAATATGTAAAAACACAAACGCCAGTAATATTCAGAGGAGCTTTGAACCAATCGCGAGTACTTCGAATTTGGACGAACGAATATTTAAAGGAACATTATGGTAATTTACCAGTGCTTATTCAATCAGACGGGCTGGCTGGAAGAACTACAGTTAACAAATATATTGATCATTACCAGGATGCTGATGGTTCGGTTATGTCAACTGTGCCAAAACCCATGGAGAAAGATTTACCAATTCCGCCATGTTTGTTATGTGGTACATTTACAGAAGGAATACAGGTAATGTACAATGTAATATTTATTTGTCCCGAGTCCCAAATATGCATGCGTATCATAATAAATGAATCCACGACCTATCCGCTACAAATATCTGTGTTAAAAGATTGTATAATATTCTCTGTTCTTGGATAAGAAATACTGGACAGTACAGTGAAGCCTGAAAAACAACACACCCACATGAACGTACAGGTTTCATCCTACCACCATGTTTTTTCCACTGATATTAAATAAAGCACTCACTCTAAAAATGTAAACAAAAACATTATTTTCGGGAAAGCAATTTGTTTTATCATCTAAATTCAGAATTAAAATATAGAAAATCAAAAAAATATATACATGTTTTTGATAAACAAATGTTGCAAAATAAATAAATTAAAGCATAAATTTATTTTTTATTTTTTCTATAATCATCACGCAAATGTTTGGATAAATTCATCAGCCAATCAACTTACTTTATAATTTTCAATCGAGTTAATTAATAGTTGGAGTCGCCCTCTCCGTTATGTTATTCTACAAAAGTAGGCGTTAATTACATGTGCAACAATTTCACACAAAATAGTGGTATTTGCATCTTACGATGAGTACAGAATTCCCCTACTATATAAAAACTATCGAATTCTGAGCTATAGTCTTATCTACAGACTGCTTATGCAAATTCAAACAAGTTGCAAAACAGGCTGATGTATGGTGAAAAAATATATTTTATTATTATTGTGAAGATTTAACTCCCTGACTCAGTTTCCTAACTCCCTAACTCAGTTGTAAAAATCATGGGTTAGACGGTTTAAAGCGCCATAGTCATTTCACAGTACATGTTCATTTACTCTAAACGCGCAACATATGAGGTGGAACATGTCCTGTTAAGCAATTTGATCGTTATCATTCTAAAACACTTATTATTGTATTATCGACGTTTTTTTTAAATACTGTTTGAGTACTTTGATATATTTGATACATGTACAATTTTTTGCTTTAGAACACTTCTATAAATAGACATGTTGTTGACACAAGTGCGAACGTGATAGAAAACACCACTTTGTTACGCATTTCTATAATGTTAACTTTCGGTCTAGAGTTCAGTATCTTACCGAGCCTATAAATAGGACGCGCAACTATTTTAGCACCAGTCTTTACCGTGTTGTTGTGTTTAACGTTTGCTTACATGTTACTTTATGGTAAATTCTCCTGTATATCAGTGGATATACTGCATTGACGTAATAAACTACTCTTACGTGTTTATTACTTACGTATTCGTTTCCTGTGATTGATTTGTTTGCATAACCTGGCATTTCTTACTTATTTTGGATATAACCCAGTCACGAATTATAACCCCACAGAACAATGGCAGTAGTACTAGCTAAGATTGTTTTCCTAATTACCATAAACGATTGATATACGTGTTTATGTCATACATTGTTAATGTTAATTCAATCCAGCGGGGAAACATAATTTTATGTGCAAATTTGTTGACCGTCAATTTCCAGTGTAATACGCCCATAAACAATTAGCAAAAATGCGCGAATTGGTTCTCAATATATATTACCAATAGAAGTTTAAATAATTGAAAATTTAAGTAAGACATAACTATAATTGGGTTGCTTTATAAATCCTATTATTATACATCTATATAATCCTATTGCGATATTTACATTGGAATTTCAGAATGTTGAACTACTGTGGAGTGGTGCTAATGCTAGATCTATTGTCCATCAACATAGCTATGAAGAATTACAATGTGTTATAAAAGGAACAGTGCGTATGGTTTTTATACAGCCTAATCAGGTATCCATATTAATAACTTTACTATATAATGATATCCTTGGCAAGTACACTAAAAACACTCTTCATTTATTTACTCAACATTATTTTTACATGTTGATTGTTCTTTTTATCACGATAATTTATACCACCACTTCATGGCCCATATACACTTTAAAGCTACGTAGTGCATAGACTTGCTTGCAGTCTGTTGCGATTCCGATGAAAAATTCTTGAAAAATAGAAATTGCGTAAACGAGGGAAGAACGCGATAGTCATGTGACCGCGAAATCCCAACAGACTTGCCATCAGTGTAAGCGCCCTCACATTTCTGGCCAGATCCGGGCTCGTAAATGTGCATATATGTCATACGGTGGGTGGAGCAGCCGAGCCACGTATCGTAACAATAAATCATTACAAGCCCGAATCTGGCCGGTAATGTGATGGCAAG